CACATCTTGCTGCAAAGAGCCTCCAGAAAGGAATGTGTAGAGTACACAGGAAATCCAACCAGTATTTCACTAATTCTTTAAATCATGTGGTGATTTACATGTCCTGCTCCTCCCACACCTTGCTCTTTCCACTCTGGGAGCTTAAAATGCCCCACAGATCATTCAGCATCCCAGTGAGCCTGGGAGGGCTGGATCCTCACGTGGATTAAAGGCTGTCTCCCTTTCCAGGATCCCTTCCACAATTTGCTTTGGACAAGGTGCCACCCGAGGATTTAAAGGACCACGGAAAAAAGTCTGAAGGTCAGTGCAGCAGATTTGTACAACATGAGCAAGCATGGAGCCAGTGCCACCAGGGATTTTTCCAGTTCCCACTCTGGAATAAACCAGCCAAACCAATTAAAGCTCTGCCAGCATTTGGGCACATGTTCCTGATGTCAGACATCACCCAACTGAGTTAAGAATCCTCAGGATTTGAGGAAGAGGAACCCAGAATGTGTGGTGAGGTGTTAAGGAAACTGTCCTGCAGCTGAGGCTGCACAGGATTGGGTGTGTTATTTTTTCCCTCTTGGGGATAAAAAAAATGGAATCAAGAAGTTACAAGATGACAAGGTGACTGTATGGAAGCTGGAATAACTGAGAAGAGAAAATGGGGGGAAAAAACCCCATTGGTCCTCAGTTCTGACTTCCTCCACCTCGCTGAAGTCTCCTCTGCACCCCAGCTCCTGCTCTGAAAGGTCTGTCTGGGCCAGGAGAAGCATTTTCACAGGGAGTCGAAATAAAGGGACTTCCAAGCAGGTGAATAAATAAAAGGAATTTTTACAAAATTGCTTCATAGTGAATTTAAGTGCTGTTTTGAAGCCCAGGCAGAGTCAGACTGGTGGAATGAACCTCCCTCCCTTTGCTCAAATGCTGCCAAAGTCAGGTTGGGATGGAGGTTGTTTTCCCTCTCACCTTTCCCTTTGTAATCTCATCCCCCTGGAAAAAAACTGGAAACTCACTGGTGAATCCTGACAATCAAAAATTGTGCATAAGGGAAAAAAAAAAAAAAAAAAAAAGGTTTCTAGAACAACTTTCTGGAACAATGTTTATCCAAGAAGCTTAGGATCTATAATTGCAATTTTTTTCCCTTCCCCCCCTCTGTGAGGAATAGAAGATCAAAGGGGCTTTGAAAAATCCTTGCAAATGGGAGCAGGGAATGATGTTTACAGAGATGTAGGAGATTTCCCAGTGAGTTTTAAAAAGCTTTGCTCTGTTTAGAAGTCATCCAGCCCTAATCCCTGCTCCGTGGGCTCTGCAGAGGGCTGTCTCCAGCAGGCAAAGCCTGCAGCCACAGAACTGCCCAGGGACATCTCTCAGCAGGGACCAAAGATCACTTCCAACACTAAAGCCCTGAAGGAGGCTCTTTCCCCACACTGGGATAGCTGGGAAGGGGAAGCAGGCCTTGGCATGTGATGGTGCAAAGGTCAGGCAGCTGCCCAGCCTCCTCTTCCTCACTGTGTTCAGGAATTCTGACCTTGGAATTCCCTTTCCCCAGGCTCCCTGAGAGCCTGTCCTTGCTGCTGGGAAACAAATTGAAGTTTCTGATTGTCTCTTCTAGCCCACCAGCTTTTCCCAGAGTCCAACAAATTATTTCCCAGCTGGCCAGTGGCTGTCAAAAATCCTTATTTCATGCCAAAACTTGAATTTCCCATCTCTCCAGAGGTCATGCACTGGCGGCAGGAGGACACGGAGCTGCCTGGAGAGCCCAGGGGTGCACGGGGTGCCGTGTCCATGAGCAGCGGGATTGGGAGCCACCAGGGACAGGAGGGACACGGGATGGGCGGCAGCGGGACCTGGATCCATTGAGGGACAAGAGGGACACGGGATGGGCGGCAGCGGGACCCGGATCCATTCAGGGGCAGGAGGGACACGGGATGGGCGGGAGCGGGACCTGGATCCACCCAGGGACAGGAGGGACACGGGATGGGCGGGACCTGGATCCACCCGGGGACAGGAGGGACACGGGATGGGCGGGACCTGGATCCACCCAGGGACAGGAGGGACACGGGATGGGCGGGACCTGGATCCACCCGGGGACAGGAGGGACACGGGATGGGCGGGAGCGGGACCTGGATCCATTCAGGGACAGGAGGGACAC